CCAATGGGTACCAAGGCTATTTCTGTGATTCAGATATATTTTGAACTTGACAGCATCTTTTGTAAGTGTAAATAATCCACTCCGATAGAGCAAGGGAAGGCCCTCAGGTATTGCCACCTGATGATGTTTAGGGGCAGCTTGACACCGCACTAAGTGTGGTTATATGTTTCTACCACATGAATATATACTTTCTGAAAGTCTTCCGCAGGCAACAGAGCTGCATGACCTTGAAAGTCACATCTTTCATCCATGCCCATGGAAGTTGCCATATTTTTGTATACCATAAGTATCTCATTCCCTATATAGTAGCCTAAGGGGACATAACTATGTTTGTTTGTTTGTATGTTGTTTAACATCCCTCTCGAGAATTTTTCACTCATATGGAAACGCCACCACTTGCCGGTGGAGAGCTGCAAATTTGTCCTATACTCGACTCTTACGGCCATTGAGCAGTGAGGGATCTTTTTCGTGCCAGCACCTACTGCAACACGGGACCTCGGTTTATACGGTCCCATCCGAAGGACCGGTCTTCACGTCCCACAGTGGGATTCGAACCCGCGGCGTAAGGATCAGCTCCTTACGCCGCGACTCTAGCGCAGACGCTCTAACCACTGCGCCACGCGGGCGACTATGTGGAAACTTTCAAGTTTCAGCCTCATGGAAGACCTTTTTAATTAATTGAACTACGAGGGGTTATCAAAAAGTTCGTGGACTGACGCGATAAAATTAATAATATGTAGTCTTTGCTTACAAAATTTATGCGGAACATAAAACAACAGAAGTTTAAGAAATGTTGAAAATTTTAGCTTGATACGTTGATAATTTGCCAAATTATTCTAAAATTAAAAAGACTTTATGTGATCACCCGGCGCTGTCGCCGTTTAGTGTCATGACGTCCGCTTAACGTCATTGTTTCTTAATGTCCGCTCTCTCTACCTCATACACTTATCTTGATGAGATTACATGGAGTTAAGTAAGGACTTAAACCCGTCTTATTTATATGAATTTACAATGTCACGAGCAGCTGTTTTCAATGCATATAATATTGTAAATGGATCTTTATATGGGGAAAGTTCCTCACTTGATTATGCCAGAATACTTAGCTTGTTGTAGTTCAATTTCTACCACACATGATCAACGTCACTTTTCGACGTGACTGACTTTAGACACCCTGACTACAAATCGACACTAACTGCATATTTCATCTCTCTGAATCTTTTTGGGCATTAAAAAACAAGTACTCTGGATGCATTTTATTTTTCTGTAGCCAGTTTAAACATTCCTTAGGTCAATACCAGTTTTTCCAGGAGCGAAACTCTATAGAGTGTTTGAAAAAGAAACCCCTCACCCTTTTTGACGTTATTTTCAAGCCCATAATTGTTTGGACACTCCATATAAAATTTACGATAAAATTTCATAGAAATTATAGAATGGGGTAAAAATTGCAAATTTTACTGAACAAATGTGTCGTACCACATGCCTGAATTAACGAGATTTTTATGATGACAAATACTCATATCTAAAGAGTTTTTCTCAGTTACACTCAGATAGAAATAAACGTCATATTAGAGGTTGCGCCGCCTGGACATACCTTTGCTTACAAAAACACTAACAATTTATTAAAAAATAAAAATTATGATTTATGGTTTATTCTATAGATAGAAAAGATGATGCTAACTAAATGTGTAAAAATTCATTGATGTACCTAAAGCGGTTTTAATTTTATGACGCTAGTCCACGAACTTTTTGATAACCCCTCGTATTTTACAGTTTGATGTTGTTTTCAAAAATTGTTTATATTAATAGTTTAACATCTTTAAAAAAAAAATAATAGCTAGTTAATAAGTAGCAATTGTCTTTTGTTTATTATGCTTACACTAAAATATTTTCAAATTTCTCAGATAATTTAACACTTTTTAACTATTATATCAAAACAATAGTTTTTGTCAAAATCTAAAAAATCCCCATTACAAAGGAAATATATACACATTGAACTTTCTAAGTAATTTTTATTTGAAAAAATTTAAGGGTCCAAACCCTGTTTAAATTAAGGTTACATTTGGCGCCATTTAACCAGAAAACGTAGTTCTTTCAACTGTGACATTTCTGATAGGTTGCTATGGAAACGTATATTATTTAATCACAAATTCATATTCTACAATGTTAAATTTTCACAGTTAACCAGTAATTAATGTAAAAACAATTGTTTGTGGTCCAAATGCTACATTGAAGTTTAATGAAATTCACTCATTTTTTGCACTTTCAGGTACTATTTTTACCTGTTTTAAATGACAGTCCTGTTTCTATAAATAGAACAAGCCATCAACTTTTTTATAACATGGTTTTTATTATTGATGTGTATATTCTCAATATTTAATAAAATAACGACATTTGTGAATACCTCAAAAATTGATATTTTATAGTTCTGCCTGGTTTTCTCATAGAATCACTGATAAAATGTTGAACAAAACGCACGCCTTTAGAGTGCTTCTTCTCTTCAAGCGTCTATAATTTTAATTCAGCATTGATTTACACCAGGTCCTATAAATGCATCATAATTCTTACTCAGACTTAAGCAAACAGTGAGTTTTCTTGAATTTTATAGTCGTTATGCATTACCAATTGAAAAGAAATGTTTCTCAAACAAATGATAGGAAATAAAGCCAAGGTTTGCCGTTACATTCTATATGTACCATGGCAACAGGAAAGAAAATGGCCCCACTTAGATTCTTTTTATCAGTCTTAAAACGAAAATGTTTGTTCGTATTTAAAACAGCTTACTCATTTCTCACATGAAATTAAGTCAGCGCATAAAGAATTTACATAAAATTCAAGGTCCATAAAGCATGGACCTTAACACCCAAGTGCATGTTAGGATTCAAGTTTTTTTTTTCTGATCCCCGTTATATGTTTTTATTTTCTTCTCCTGTTAACCTGGTTGTAAACCGTTATAATCCCTATATTTATTTAGATTTTTTAGGAATGACTCTAATTCTTGGCCAAATTATTCGAGGATAACCTGGTTTGGGTCAGTTTACGCTTTATAATCCGCGAAGCGGATTATAAAACAGCGTAAACTGACCCAAACTAGGTTATCCTCGAATAATTTGGCCAAGAATTAGAGACATTCCTTATAATTTAATTCTAAAATCATTAAACAACTGTGGGTGTAAAATTTCGTTGCTTTTTATTAGTTCAAATTTGCCGCTCAATAATACAACCCTAGTAACGGAAGTGATGGGAAGCGAGGGGAGGTAAAAACTGATACATAGTCCTAGCAGCCATGTTTTTTGTTTACATGTGGTAAGATCCGAGTTACTGTTTGAAGTTAAAGGTACATTTATTAAATCTGGAATTTTCCATGAATCCCGAGGACTGGAAATGAGAGGATTGCATGGATACAGACGATTCAGCTGGTTGTCAGGGGGGTGTGTCCCCATACCAAACCAGGTTATACAGAAATAATTTGTGTTCCTTTTTGGATATTAACCAATCAGAGGCTAGAATACAAACAAAATTAAATTATTCACATTTATTTTACAAATGAATCCTTGTTATGGCAAAAAGATTTATAATACAATATAAAAAATTGATCCCTTAAGGTTCTTAAGATAAATTATTTTAGGAATGACTCTAATTCTTGGCCAAATTATTCGAGTATAACCTGGTTTGGGTCAGTTTACGCTTTATAATCCGCGAAGCGGATTATAAAACAGCGTAAACTGACCCAAACCAGGTTATACTCGAATAATTTGGCCAAGAATTAGAGTCATTCCTTATAATTTAATTTTAAAATCATGAAATAACTATGGGTGTAAAATTTCGTTGCTTTTTAATAGTTCAAATTTGCCGCTCAATAATACAACCTTAGTAACGGAAGTAACGGAAGTGATGGGAAGCAAGGGGAGGTAAAAACTGATACATGGGCCTAGCAGCCATTTTAGATGTGGTAAGAGCGAATTATCGTTTGAAGTTAAAGGTACGTTTATTAAATCTGGAATTTTCCATGAATCTCGAGGACTGAAATGAGAGGATTGTATGGATACAGATAATTCAGCTGGTTGTCAGGGGGGTGTGTCCCCATACCAAACCAGGTTATACAGAAATAATTAGTGTTCCTTTTTGGATATTAACCAATCAGAGGCAAGAATACAAACAAAATTAAATTATATATTATTGAGGAACGTCTCGGCTGACCTTAAGCGCAATTTTATAGTTGTAGGAAACACGGCACCATATTCTTGCATAATTTCTTCTATATAAAATATCGCTTAACATAGTTTAGTGTGCTCCAAAAAAGATCCATATTTGAAAAAAAAGATATATATATAACGTACATGTTATCATGAAGTTTTTGTAGATTATATAATATGCAGTTTTTCTAAATATTTGCAAAGTATCGATTATGCAATTTTTAATTCATTTTTAAAGAGAATTAAATCATGTTTATCACCAAACTTTTTCTAATAAGCATGAAGTCTATGTAAGTTTGAGAGAAAAATTGTCAGATTTTTCAAGCATAATTCCTAAAATTCAGAAGACGTTATTGAATATTAAGATTTTGTGCAAAAACTCGGGTCGTTCTATGTTAAAACACCCTTGGCTATATGAACATCAATTTTTATATCCATTTTATAACGATGAACCTGCCTTCCAGGAGTCACCCTTGGCTATATCAACCCGGTTTTTTTTTTCTTAAAATATCTTTATTTACTGCCGCCGAACGGATATCTAACATTGTTGTACTTGATTCTGAGGCCAAAAACCGGGTATGTTTAACAAATGTTTCATTTTAACGTATTTGTATATATATATATATATATATATATATATATATATATATATATATATATATATATATATATATATATATATATATATGAGTAAAGAAAGTTAACTCTTTTGAATTGTATAATTGTAATCAAATTTAAAAAAAAAAAAAGTTTATTGAAGTTCCATCCACTCAGTATTTAGTGTTCTTCTTGCATTTTCAGGTGGTTAGCCTTTCCACATGAAATTTTTGGAATAGATCACCAATATTGGATTTATAAATGGACAAAGTACCATAATTATGTGATCAGCAACATGGGTTGTGTACGGGAAAAAATCGTCATAAGAAAAAAATTAATTGATATGTTAGATGGAAGAAAAATTTGTCTTTTCATTGCAACAACCTGCACTTTATTATATTTAATTTCTGATTATTCGTATGACTTAGCTATATATTGTGCGAAGCATTCTACGTTCGTTGGTAAGTTTCTTTTTTTTTTTTTTTACATATTTAATATATAGAGTACAATCATGTATATCATAAATATATCATGAACTGTTTCCCTTATGAAGAACTATATAGAATACCATTCAGAAATAAATCAAACAATGAAGCTTATTTAGGGTATTTTGATTATAACATTTTTCAGTCGGTAGAATTACACCAAATGTTACCTATACAACATATAAGGACATGGTTCATCAATTCCACTGGCTACAAAATGGAGGACATTACAAGCCCGCTTATTCATGTTTTCCCAGTCAAAAAGTTGCCATAATAATTCCATTTCGAAATAGGGAATACCATCTGAGAATTTTGTTGAACAACCTACATCCAATGCTGTATCGTCAGCAGATCGAGTATTCGGTGTATGTACTGCATCAGGTAAAACATGATAAAAAAAGAAAAAGAAGCATTGGTCACGTAGTCGTTTTTATGCAATACATGTTGTTCAGATATTATTCTGTTCCAAATATTTCTACTGCTGTTTTTCCTGGATTAAATAGCACAACACAATATTTGTGTGAATTGAAATTTATTGAAAATGACAATGAGTATTAACGATACAATAAATGGAAGGATCCAAAAAACCTTAAATCGTTAATCGTTTAGAAATTAATTATGATTTTGATTTCTTGATTTTTTAGGAGAGAGGAGGGTTAAAAATGTAATTGAAACATATCTGAAAAAAATATATAAACAATAAAAGTAAACTCAAAATTCCGTGATCGTTGGGGGAGGGCGTGTATTGGTTACAACTTAAAAAAATCATTTTTTTTCAATAGTATAACATTAATGTTGGAGGTTTTACTAAATACTGCAGCAAAAAAGAGAAGAATTAGTTGGAGGGCAGGCTACAGGCCTGACATTGAAAATTTTCTTATTAAAATAGAAGTACATGTAACAACAAAGCAGGGGAAATGGGTGGAGGCCAGGGGCACTCCTCCTTCCCGAGACAACGTACCTCGAAGAAGTCAATACTTCTAAATATTTATGTTACCAGATAACAGTAAAGCCATGATACATGTATATACATTTTATTCATATCTGTAAAATTGTAGGCTGACGAGAAAGGATTCAACAAAGGGAAGCTGTACAATATTGGATATATCCAAGCAATAAAACGAAACCATACTTGCTTTGTATTTCACGACGTTGATCTTATTCCAGAAAACGATAGAATTTTATATGGATGTACACAGAGTCCTATGCATCTTTCAAGGGCAATAGACAAATTCAGTTACAGGTTTTTTAAACATAATTTATGTAGTGTTGAGGGTTTTTTTATTGCTTGTTAAATAATGCAAGATCTGCTTCATTAGTATCTCTCAACCCTTTCATCAGCTTACTGATAATATCATTAGCTTTGATATATATGGATGCGCAGCACTGTTCAGATTGGATATCATAAGGAGGTAGGGCATAATTTAAGCGTGAAATATGACTTGTTAATATTTCCTTTTCAAACCACCAGATAAGGGAAATAATTTGTCATTTTAAGCTAAAAGAGAGTGTTTATTTTTACTAGGGATGTCAATTTTGTCCATAATCCATATTCGAATATTCAATGAAAGTATTCGAATATATTCGAATATTCGATAAAATAAATAAATTCTGGTTTATTTTAAATATGCATATCCTACTCTCATGAAAAGTTTATCGTAGGTAATCTTATATTGGAAGTAAAAATGTATGAAGAATTTTGTAGTTGTACAATAAGGAATTCCATTTGATATTTGTCAATGTTTGAAATAAATAATTGATTTAAATGTAGAAAAGTATAATTTTAGCAAATGAAACATGTGCATTTAAAGTAGTTCCAACTGAGGAGCCAGTCGTCTTACCAAAGGCAAGATAGTCGTATACTGATTTCAATACGTGTAATGAATTACAATTATCTGCCTAATAAGAGATATAATTATAATCTTTGATACAATGTTTTTAAAATATAAACAAATATTTCCATAGACAATTGTCCTAGGTAATTAACTAATTTCCCGATAATGAATATAAAATTCAGGATTATGTATAACCCGAGATAATCAAGTAATTTACACATTTATTCTGAAATTAGGCCCTTTACAATATTAATTACAGATTAATTCTATCGGACATTCATTCAATGATCAATTAAATTTGTTTTGATAAGTATACTCTTCACTTTTTTTTTTTAGACATTCTAAGAAGGTTTTTTAACTAATAAAAACTATGAAAGTACGTTTTGTATTACACATTAAGCATTATTGTATAATTTTTTAACACCCTACTCAAAACAAAATAATTTAGTAGATCTTTAGGATTAGAAAGTACAGATCGAAATTGATCGCTAGTAAATTTAACAGGAAGAATTCCAGCACTTTTCTAATAAAAAAAAATATTAATCACAGTAATTCTTTTTATGAAATCTGAAAAACACCGAATATTCGAATCTTAAATTCATATTCGAATATCAACTCATCGAATGAATATTCGAATGTTCGAATATTCGTTGACATCCCTAATTTTTACAATATGAAGTCTTACCATTGCGCGATTTGCGCGCAGTTTAGATGTTAGTTAAATCCATCGCAAGGAAGCAACTGATTGCTATGGAAATTATTATTTTCAGATATATAATAGACCATTAATTTGAGTGATTATTTGATATTTTGAATGCTTCTAATTTAATTGATATGTAATTGTGCCCAAAACAATATTTACATTTATTCCACCTTATTTTGTGTGCACGAATGATATAATAATTTACGAGAAAAAAACATGACTACTGTACTTTATTCCGGTTGTTGTCCCCCGCTTTCACTGAAAGTGGGGGATAATAATTTTGGTCTGTCCGTCCGTCCGTCCGTCTAGCTGTATTTCTGTCTGTCTGTAACACTTTCGTTTCCGAGCGATATCTCAAGAACCCTTTAAGCTTTCGCAATGGAATTTTGCATCGCAACTCCTATGGCCTGAAGAAGAACCCTATTGATTTTGAGATTTCAAAATGTCAAGGTCATAAATTCATAAATTCTGTCTGTTTTAACACTTTCGTTTCCGCGCGACATCTCCAGAATCCTTTGAGCTCTTGCAATGTTTTATACCATAACTCCCTATGGCCTCTCTCGCCCCTCTCAGAGTGTCCCGCCCCGTTTTTTTTTATTATTATCATTTATTGTATTAAAAGTTGGCACTATTTTTAGCACAGGAGCATATGGCGAGTTATTATGTATAATACAGGTTGTTGGCGGACTTTATATTCTTATTACATCTATTAGAACTGTTTAGTAAAGGATAAACCGTGGTCTAGGGGTATGACTATCGCTTAGCATGTGAGAGTTGCCGGGTTCAAATCCCCGACGATCCTTTTTTTTTGAATTTTTTTTCTTTTGATTTACTAAATGAGTACGAAAGCCGATAGGCTCATTTTTGACAAGGCAAAAAATATTTAACTCGTTATAACGAGATAATTTTCTCGTAAGAACATGTTAGTATCTCGTAATAACGTTAGTATCTCGTTATAACGAGTTAATATCTCGTTATAACGAGTTAGTTATCTTGTTATAACGAGTTAGTTATCTCGTTATGACGAGTTAGTTATCTCGTTATAACGAGTTAATATCTCGTTATAACGAATTAGTTATCTCGTTATAACAAGATAATTATCTCGTTATAACGAGTAAGTTATCTCGCTATAACGAGTTAGTTATCTTGTTATAACGAGATAAAAAATTGATCTAAAGAGTTGATATATCGAAGTAAAGAATAGACCATTATTAATAGGAAATATACAGAAGCGAGTCGATCAGATTTGTTTGAATTGTGCGTGATAAAGATTTTTATTGAACAGCGTACTAGTTTTTTTGTGTTATGCCTTTGATTGGTATTGTTTATTGAAAAGACCGAAGACAAATATACGGAAACTTATGACCGCCTCATGTTGTGTTATACCTTAAAATTGCTAAATAGAATTAGTGTCATCTTCAAATGGAATGTATATAACGTCAAAATATTGTCAACTTGTACAAGATCAGAAAAAATGATATACATGTACTCTGGCTGATTTAACTGCCCTGTTCAAGCTTTCTTGACTTTGTTAAAATTATGATGATTTTTGCGTAATATTTGTTGCAATAAAAAATGCATAGAAATAATCCCATTATTTTATATATTCCGAATTAATAATGTCGATATGATACCATTTGTTAGGCTTTAACGTCCATATTTTGATAATTATTTGTCTGTTAACAAGGAATACCAGTTCAATTTTATCGTCTTAAAGGGGCAAGATCAAAATTAAAATTCAATGGCTGACAAAAAACTAAATTCACGTTGTTTTTATTGTCGATTCCTCCTTCCCCTCAATAATAAATATGATGAATTTCAAGAACTAATACTGTACTTATCACTTAATAATTTATATATTTCTTTTGTTTATTAAAAGAAAGAAACATTTTAATTTACCAATTTGGTATGAAATCTCAAGGACAATATGTATTTTTTGCGTTATTATCAATGTGGTAGAATGAAAAAACTCTTGGGACTCTTTATTCTACGGAAGCCATAATAAAAAGGTGAAGGTCAGCAGGCTGAAATGTAGTGCATGTAGGAAATTCACATGCCTCACTTTGACAATAGTAAAAACAGTTGACATGTTTGTGATCCTTTTTGGGTATAGAATGAAAGTTTAATATCTAAAGTTTTCAATATGATGCGCATTAATGAAGGTGTATTTCAAGCATAAATTATGCCTAGAAATGTGTATTGTATCGTGAGATAGGATATTTGATATTTTCACTCGTGCTTCGCACTCATGAAAATATAAAAAAAATCCTGTCCCACTCGTGAAATAAATTCCATATCAACTACAGAACATTGAATATCCTCTATTTATCCCCCCCCCCCCAAATCAATCTCTTTTTGAAATAAAAATTATATGCTTGCAAAAAATACATAATAAATATTGTGATGAGGAAAATAATTAACGACATTTCTTCAATGTTGTATTAATAATATACATGTAGTATTAGGCCTATTCGCTGATTAATCCTAAGTAAAAAGATTATAAAAGTGAACTGGCTTTGTAAATTCTGTAACCTTTCTTTGTTTTGTAAACTCTGGTTTGATGTTTTGTCACCATGTGGTAAACATAGGAATCGCCAAATAGACGTGAATCTCAAATAGGTAAACTTTACGTGAATCTCCGCAGCCCCCCCCCCCCCCAAAAAAAAAATATAAACAGTGAATCATGACAGAATATTAGACAAAACGTCAATATCAGCAGATCAGATCTAACGTCTTATTATTTAGAAGAATGAAATCTCATTTTTACTTCATCATTCCTCCTCATCATGGGCAATCTGCATAAGCTTAGTCACAAAGTTCAAGAGGGAGGGGGGTGTACACCAAGTAAAATATTTTACATGCAAAAAGAAAAAAAAGAGATTTGATATTCCAACTACGAGTATTCACCATTATTTTCGGGAGATATTTACTCAGGTAAAGAAAATCTGGAGGAAGGGGCACAAATATACTCTTGACCGTCCCCTTCTCAAAAGTGGTGGTGGAGACATTACCCCCCCCCCCCCCATCACTACGCCTATGATCTAACTGCTGATGTCTCAACATCCCCCTTCTTCAAAACATTTCTGAATCTCAAAAATAACATGTATCACACTGTAATCGTATATATTATTTGTTGCATAAACGCCTGCGATATGATGCACTGATAGTTTTATATTGTCTCTGATATTTAATTCTAGCGAAATTGATATATGAAAGTGTATATAAGTCGTCCAAAACATGTCGAAATAGTGTCATTCATCAGAAATAGTTGTCAAAAATAAATTGCCAAAGTTTAAAGCAAGTATATTTGGCAATATTATTTTAAGAAAAACATCGCGTCCTAATTCAACAATTTGAGGAGGCGTTCACGAATTAATGTGTAAATGTGTTCGCCTTAGAGTTGCTATACCTATCAAAATATGGTTACTGACAGCGAGATAGTTCAAGATTTAATCATAAGTAAACCCCAGAACAAATTAAATTTTCAACCATTTATCAATTTTGTTCAAGTTAAATTTGACTTATAATTCCTAGCTAAAAATTCAATGGCATTAAAAACTAAAGCCATTTTTATTCCTTTATTGCTATTAAATCTCGAAATAACGAGAAAACTATCTCATTATACCGAGATAAGTAACTTATGATGAGATAACTAACTCGTTATAACGAGATACTTACTCGTTATAACGAGATAACTAACTCGTT